GGTGCCTGACTTCCCATGGAGAAACAATTTCTGTGTTGTTTCTACCCATCAACTTTCTACCATAAACTTGTTAAAGTTTTTGTCACTTTTCTTTTTAACCAAATCACCGTGAGATACAGTTATAAGGCTTTCATGACTTAGTTTCAGTGATCCAAGACCCATCTCTCTACCCGTGCACATTTTCCACCACAGATATTCCCCCATATCCCTCTTGACACTCCCCACCGCCCACCCCAGCCTGCCTCTGGCCGGCACCTTTCTTCTTGCTCTCTCTCTACTTCGAGCATTAGGATTTGCAATACAGATACTGAGAGGCCATCAGGTTTGGTCCTTTGCCCACTCTCAGCACAAATTTCCCATCCAGAGTGATCCCTTCCAACCATCATTGTCATAATGGCCCCTTCTCTAGCCCAACTGCCTCTCCCCCTGCCCTTGAGGTAGACTTCCAACCATGGACCAATATTCCTGGCCGTTGTTTTCTACCATCAACTTTCTTCACACCAGGCCTTCCCCATCCTCTCAGTCCCTGGAGCAGGTGGTGCACAGATGAGAGTGCTCCCACAAGTTCTTGGGCTCCTCCTGCTCCTAGTTGTGTGTCCTGGGAAAGTCCCTCTCCTGGGTCAGATTATTTCTCTGAATGGAAGGTGGTGAAAGAATCAACCATAGAAGGTTTTGAAGAGACCATGGGATCTGTCATGATAGATGCTTTGCTGATGCCTGGCTTCCCCAATTTTGGATTAACTGTAATGTTGATTTCTCCCCACAAGGCTCCCTCTGCCTCAGGCCACATAGCTTTGTGACTTTTGGTAATTCACAAAGGCATCTGGGTGTGGAGAGTCGCTTACTGACTGAGCACAGGCTCTCCATGAAGGTCCTTTGATCCGATGCCTGGAGCTGTACATTTCCCAGGATCACCAGGACCCCCCAAATAGATGACCACTTAATCTTTGACAAAGGAGCAAGAAATGTGAAGTGGAACAAGGAAAGCCTCTTCAACAAGTGTGCAAGGAAAACTGGATAGCTACCTGCAGAAAAATTAACTCTGACCTCTGTCTAATCCCAGGCACAAATGTCAGATCAAAGTGGATTAAAGGAAATGTATTTCTGACTGGGATCACATTGGCTCCAGAGGCCACAGAGAGTCACACCCCAGAGGAAGAGCAGTGTGTAACCTGCTTTTCAGACCTGACGGGTCTCTGTGTGGGCCAAGGTGAGGAAAGACAGCACTGAACTAGGCCAGGCCATAGGTCCTGTTCTTGAAAGAGTCCTGGACACATGATCCTGTTAAGAAAACACATTACTCAAAGCATAGGGATTCAACTTAATTAAATTCACAGATCTCCTTACCAGCTAATTTGTCAAATATTTACAGGAACACACAACAAAATCAGTAGTCTCAGGGAGTCAGCTCTGAAACTTGAGCTTTGAGCAAACACACACGCAAACACACACACAGACACACACACATACACGGGGTGGGGGAGAAGGGGGGAGTCACACCCAACATTGCTCAAGGGTTTACTCCTGGTTCTGCACTCAGGAATTACTCCTGGTGGTACTCAGGAACCATATGGGATGCTGGGGATTGAACCTGGGTCAGCTGCATACAAGGTACCATACAGCTGCCCTACCTTCTGTACTATCACTCTAGCCCTAGAATCTTGAGCATATTGTCACTGTCACTGTCCTCCCATTGTTCATTGATTTGCTCGAGTGGGCCCAGTAACGTCTCCATTGTGAGACTTGTTACTGTGTTTGGCATATCGAATACATCACGGGTAGCTTGCCAGGCTTTGCCTTGCGGGCGAGATACTCTCTGTAGTTTGCCAGGCTCTCCGAAAGGGGCGGAGGAATCGAACTCGGGTCGGCCGTGTTGGCTGCGTGCAAGGCAAACGCCCTACCCACTATAGCATAGCGCTGCTGCTGTGCTACTGCTGTGCTATACTGGATAGGGCATTTGGCTTGCACGCAGCCAACCTGGTCAACAAAGGTTCGAGCATATTAGATTGCTAAATAACTAGAACAGAGTTCTAACCTGAAGCATGCATGCAGATAATACCCTCACTTCAAGGAATCAACAGAAAGGGAAATTTACATTACAGTGAAAGAATGTAACTTCCAACTCACTTGTGTGGAGGACCCTAACAAGCCCAATATTCATGCACTGCCATGTGGCCCACAAACAAGTGATTTACTCCCCACCTACCAAGACAGTGCATAGAACATTCACTGTCAGGCAAGAGGAATTAGAAGTTCAATGTCTCTAACTTCGGGTCTGGTGGAGGAAATTTTTACATTAAAATTACAGTTCAGAGAAGCAAAGGCTAGTCATGAAAACATGGATTTTATTTCACCAACCAAGACCAGAAGCTATTTCTCTCTGATTCCAAGTGAATTCCAGTTGTGTTCCCAGTACTAGTAGGTAAGAGTTTCCCTTCCAAATAAACAGATGCCATTACTGTAGCACTGTTCTCCTGTTGTCCATTGATTTGCTCGAGCGTGCCCAGTAACATCTCCATTGTGAGACTTGTTGTTACTGTGTTTGGCATATCAAATACATCACAGGTAGCTTGCCAGGCTTTGCCATGTGGGCGAGATACTCTCGGTAGCTTGCTGGGGTCTCCAAGAGGGGCGGAGGAATAGAACCCAGACCAGTCAGCCATTACTACAACAAAATATTAAAGGCAGCTAAAGATGTAAACAATCACTTCCCCTTTGGTTATATGCACAAAGTGCTTGCCATATCTGTAAAATGAAACTGGAAGCAACAACCTAACTGTTAACTCTCTTATACAGATTTAAAATGCACCTTCGTTATTAAGTGGGGCTAGGACAGCTGAAAAGACACTAATATAGATCATTTCTAACTCTGGGCAAGTTAACTGTCTTGCACTTTCTTTTATTTGAAATGGACAGGAGTATTTGATTCCAAATTTTTAATATCTAGGTCATGTAAAGTGCTCAATAATACCACAGAACCATTAGTATTAATTGATACTTTTACTCTTGATCAAAACAAAAAGGTGTATTAAGGCCTCAAAGAGTATAAAGTGCTTTGTATTGCACGCCCACACTTATACAGCCTCCAGTACCACCAGCAGTGACTCCTGTTAGCCTTTGAGCATCACTGCCAGCCTGCCCCCAACCCCCCGAACCTATTATTTTCTGAGTCAAGATTCCTCAAAAGGTGAAAGTAACTCACAAAGGAGTTAAATAATTCATTTCAAAGTCACGTTCCTGATTCTAAAACAGCACTTTGAGACACTATTGGGAGTAACCATACTTCCTGAGCATAAGCAAGAAGTTAAATTAGATTTTACTTAAGTGTTATCTTTTTTCCAGAGCAGCTTTAGAGCATATTTGGTTGCCCAATAAACCTTTTCACATTTTTTAGCAAGATTAAATTTAAATAGTAAAGACAAAAGACCCAATTAATTAGGACACGACTCAAGGTTTGCTTTAAATAAGTTGGAGGATTGGTGGGGGGGGGGGGGGGGGTCGAACGACATGACACTGAAGAGAACCATTTTCTATAGTACAGGAGTCTCTTTATTTTTAAACAAACACCTCTCATGCCATGAATTCATAGGGAATGGGCTCCAGCAGCTCAGGCTCCTTTCCATTAGTTCTTACAAAGTGTGCTTCTCTGGGTGGAGCAGGTTAGAAGAGGGGAAAAAAAGGTGACTGTACTGGTTCTTAGAGTACTTTGTGGACTAATTTAAACCACAAAGTACTCTAAGAACCAGTAAAATGACAGATGTAATTTCACGTAAAAGAGGTAAGGTAAAGGTAAAGGCCCTCCCATTGTTCGTCAATTTACTCGAGCGGGCCCAGTAAAGTCTCCGTTCGAGACTTTGTTGTTACTGTGTTTGGCATATCAAATACTTCACGGGGAGCTTGCCAGGCTCTGCCATGCGGGCGAGATACTCACATAAAAGAAAATTAGATTAATACAGATCAGATTCAAAGTACTCACCTGGCGCTTCAGTTGAACCCAAGTCCCTTTCTCTTTGGCTTCCTTCTTTTTCTGATCATTTTCCTTTACCCGTTTTAAGAAGCTGTCTCGACCCTTAGAGTGCTTAATATGCTCAATACGAACATTAATTCTCTTGGCAAGAATCTTGCCCCTGGAAAGAAGATGAACTCTTATAAATGCCTCACCAAAAACATAACTCAGAAGGAACAAATCTGCAGGTAAAACCGCCAGTGTAAAAAAATAATTGTGATTTTTTTTTTTTGCATGGGGATGGGGCAGATTAACTGGATTTAAGGTTTAACTGGACTTAAGATTTAACTGAATTTAGCATAGCATTCTGCAACCTTTCTATACTTGTGGACTGGTTTCTGTCTTAGACCAGCAAAATTTAGAAAACTCTTTTAGCAGTGTCACAATTAATCATAATTTTTTTACTCATAAAACAGAATAAGGTGATGGCAAATTTGCAATAATGATCAATCTTACTGCAAGACTTAGTGTTTGGACAAACAGCCCCACTTTTTAGCTCTTTCTTATGATAACGGACATTGAAACTAAAATCAGGTTGCTGTATTAACTTACTAAACCTTTCACTCTGGCAACAGAACCACCTTAAATCAATCCCATGACGTTCCACTACTTTGATCTTTCAAGTTGTCTCCTCTGACAGGATACAAGACAAACACCCAGTTTGCTTGAGTTTTAAAAGGACGCTTCCTTTGCCCCACTTGAATGACCAATTAAGACATAAGTCCAATTGGCAAAGTGAGAAGGGGGCATAAGGGATTACTAGTTAACCCTCCCAATACACATTACTTACTTGACTTGTTTGTTAACGACAATGCCAACAGCATGCTGGGTAACATTGTAGACTCTTCCAGTTTTGCCATGGTAACATTTGTGGGGCATTCCTTTTTGGACAGTGCCCATTCCCTATAAACAAAGGAGGCAAATGTCATGCCATCTATTTCCCTTTCTTATCAAGGCTATTCAAGGAACTTTTTCTTTTTAATGGCAACTCAAGAGCTTTCAGAGTCAGTGACGTGTGTTTTTTCATATATTGCTTCAAAAAGCAATCAAAAAGATAATCATCATTAAACTCTACAGCACCATAATGTATTTAAAAATTAGTCACAAAGTTTTAACTATTTTTAATAGCCATCTGTAGCATAACATTGGTTTGCCCTTCCTCCCTGGCCAGGAGGAGCTTGTGTTTGTTGATTGCCCCCAACCTGTCAATTATCTTTGTCTCCTGATCAGACTTTGATTTGTAAATATTGTCTTTCTCTTCTCCTTAATGTCCTTTGCATGCTTAGTTATTTCAGAGCAGTTGCTTTTTGTATGGATACAGGAAAATAGTTAAAAAGACAAGCTTGTGGCTTGGGAGTTGACTGACTCCAGATAATTGACTCTCAGACATCTGCTCACTCGACTTGAGCCTCAGTTGCCCTTACTTCCTAGATCCCCAAAAGCAGGGTCCAGACGAGGACCCAGGGCAAGCAGTGAGCTATAAACTACCCTGGCATTGAAATGGGCCTGGCCAAAGTGTCCTAACTATAAGAGTTTGGTCATGGGAGAGATGCTGCCGCCACTGCTGCGGCCCTGGGTCGCCAGCGACATTAGAAGGGGAGGACCCCACAGGAACTGAGAGCTCACGCCCATCGGGGCCCTGGGTCGGCCCCCCCGAAGAAATGAGTGGTGGATTGGCCTCAAGTAAGAGCACCGTGTATGTATCCAACTTGCCTTTTTCCCTGACCAGCAATGACTTATACTGAGTATTCTCCAAGTATGGCAAAGTTGTAAAGGTTACTAGAATGAAAGATAAAGATACCAGGAAGAGTAAAGGGGTAGCATTTATTTTGCTTTTGGATAAAGACTCTGCACAGAATTGTACCAGGTCAATAAATAACAAAGTTATTTGGTAGAGTAATAAAAGCAAGTATTGCTATTGACAATGGAAGGGCAACTGAGTTTATCCGAAGACGAAACTACTTTGATAAATCTAAGTGTTATGAATGTGGGGAAAGTGGGCACTTGAGTTATGCCTGTCCCAGAAATATGCTTGGAAAACGTGAACCTCCAAAGAAAAAAGAAAAAAAGAAGAAGAAAATTCCTGAATCAGAAGAAGAAATTGAAGAAGTAGAAGAGAGTGAAGATGAAGGTGAAAATCCTTCTCTTGACAGTCTTAGTCAGGCCACTGCTTTCCAGCAAGCCAAAATTGAAGAACAACAAAATAAATAGAAACCCAACTCAGGAGGTCCCTCAACACCAGATGATTCAAGACGCCCAAGAATAAAGAAAAGCACGTATTTCAGTGATGAGGAAGAACTTAGTGATTAACATTTATTAGGTAAATATCATTAATTTTTAAAAATATTGACGGTACCAGTTTATTTGGGCTAATAATGATTATTTTCAGTATTCAAGCATAAGAAAACTTAGTATTAAATATTTTTATTCTATAATAGTTCATTGAAATTGAAAAATAATTATAAAGTCATTTTCTGTCTTACCAGAATAAAATTTTAAAATCAAGATATTATAATAACCATTTACCTTGAAATTAGTTCATTTGAATAAGAAAATACTGTCATAGTAATTTTACTGTCATCCCAAATAAAAGGATAGATACTAAGAATAATTTTCTGAGACGTTTATAAAATTTTATTCACATCCAAATAGTTTACATGAGAACTTTTTTTTTTGCTTTTTTGGGGGCGGGGGATCACACCCAGTGATGCTCAGGGGTTACTCCTGGCTCATGCTCTCAGGAATCACTCCTGGCGGTGCTCGGGGGACCATATGGGATGCTGGGAATCGAACCTGTGTCAGCCATGTTGGCTGCGTGCAGGGCAAACCCCCTACCCGCTGTGCTATCGCTCTAGCCCCTACATGAGGACTTTTGAAATAAATATTTTAACAAGAAGTGCTCTTTAAAATAAGCAATTCTCCAGGCCAGAGAATTAGTACAGGAATTAAGGATTAACTGTACTTAATTGTCAATTCATTCCACAAAATCACCAAGAGTGACCCTTGAACACTGACAGGAGTAAAGCCTCAGTTATGCCCCCCCAAAAAATTAAAAGCAAACACTTTTAAAAACTGTGAAAAAGTTAAAGAATTTATTTTTATTCAATGATAATGAAATTTTCAAGGACACTTAAAAAAAAGAGTTTGGTCATGGACAAATTCTGTCATGATCCAAAAGTAACAACTAGATTTGGACCCTGCTGGAGTTAGGAATGATTGATCCAGCCTGAGTACTGTAGTCTGAGTCTGTGGTAAGATGGCCCCAGGAGAGTCACCCTACAAGCCTTAAAGTGTCTAATACTGTGTCCATACAGAATGGTAAATATAAGGAAGGAAAATTAAAGATGCTGATTAAGTTGCAGGTCTAGGAGGGGAGAAACACACCTTAAGGGCTCTTTTGCTGTGGGCTGCAGGCGGGATTTCTGTAAAAACATTTTTGATCACGTTTCCTGTGGGGAGGCATGGTTGGGAAGGCGTGGTGAGAGGATAAAAAAGAGTGGCTGTGGGGAGAAAGGGATGGATTGAAGGAGAGACAGTTTTGGAGACAGCTGAGAGACAGCAGAGAGAGAGGAGACGGATACAGTGGGAAGAAAGAATTGTGCAGTTAGAGAGATAGAAAGAGAGAGGGGGGGTTGGAGAGAGCTGGGAGAGACGAGAGATTGAATAAATGGCAACTAATCAGCAACCAGCTTGGCCTTCGTCCGTCCAAGGCAACAGCCATCTGGGGTGGATAAGCGTCTTGAGAGCACCGAACGCAGGCGGTGAAAGAGAAAATAGCCTGGAGAACCCGCGAACATCCTTTCCCATGTAATTCCTACGCGAGTGAGGGGCTTACACAGCTTCTCTCAAGAGTAAGATTTTTTCACAGCCATCCTTACCAGTAACTCTTTACACAAGGTATTCAATTACATCTCAATGAACTCTAACTCAATGTTAGCAACAACTAAGTAATGAGAAAAACTTAAACACAAATAATTCAGATTTCTGAAAATATTAACAGTCTACACTGAAAGCTTATTAAGTTTCCCATCTGAAAGGATAAGTATTGACTAAGTTATGTCCAATTTGTAACTTACCTTTCTGTCGACGATATCACCTTTCTTGTATATCCGCATGTACGTGGCCAAAGGAACAACTCCTGGGAAGCATCAGTACACAGTCAGTATACAAATTATGAACTAAGCAGCTCTCAGCATTTAAAAAAACAAAAAGGCAGCTTTTGAGTTTCCCTGGTGGTGTGGTGGTGCTCAGGGTTTATTCCTGGCTGCGCTCGGAATCATTTCTGGCAGGCTTGGCAAACTCAGTCTTGTCATGTGCAAGGCAACCCCTCCACCCGCTGTACCATAAATAAATCCAGCTAATATAAATTCAGAGTTGTATTTTACAATTTTGCTGATTCACAATGAATGCAGCTATGTAAGTCATGCTTTTTAGTACAAGTTAGGGAGATGCTAGTTAATGTAGCACCAAGACCACAAACACCAACAATGTAATAAAAAACACAAGCATAATAATGCATTAAAAAATAAAACTGGAATACATCTTATAATAAAACATAGGCCAAAAAAATAAAAAACAAACCATATGCAAAATTACAAATGCCATACTTACTTTTCTCAGGAGTAATGTACTTACCATGTTTTCTAAAAGGTCTAGAGAACATATAGCGGGTGCCCCTCCTCTTTCCCTTTGTGTTGGTCATTTCTGCTCTTTACTGGAAAATGTGAAAGATATAAAGACAAATTTGGTATATGTACCTCTACCAAAAATTTCAACTTTGAATACTTGCATTTCCCTAGCAAAGTCAGATCTAAGAACATGTTAATCTAGAAGGGCGTGGAAGAAAATTAGAAGACAAACTGACAGTATCACAAAACCTTCAGTAACTCTTCTGATCAACCTAATTTTTGGTCACAGCACATTTCACACAGCATCTACTAACAGTCAAAATGTCCAATTAATTTACATATGATGACTGACATGTTTAATAGGAGACATGTTGGGCAGAAGGGGAAAAACAAGCAATAAATTATGGACCCAATTCTGGGTCCATTTACACCCCGATCCTCATCTGGAAGACAGGGCAATTAATTGAGGCCAAATCTACAAAGCACTGGCAACTGAGCAGTGGTTGTTAACAGTAACAGGCCAAAACAATGATTTTAATCACTGCTGGTCAGTCATGCTAAAATTGATATCACAAAGTGAAATAGAGGGCAAGGTTGAATTTGAATATCCCAACAAATTATTTCTCAACTAACATGAAAATTCTAGAGAAAATGGACCACACCAAAGCATCCTTTCTATAGAACGCAGAAACCTAACACCATTAGTCCAGCGAATGCACTCTTAAAAAGGCCAACAAGCATGCATTAAGTGCTAAACATCCTGTTTTTATACTTTTTTTCTCTGACTCCAAAATCCTACTCATTCCTCAGAGGCAATTCTCCAAGAGAGAAATGTATTATCAGATACAGAATAAAGTCTAATAGTTAAAAAATTGACTAATCTGACACACCAGGGTCCCATCGCAAGATTTCTTAAGTGGGTACTTTCAACAGCAACCTGGGCTGTTCTTACAACATGAGCCTCTGACAAATCAGTGAAATGTGCCCAGTTAAGACACTGATAAAAGTAGCAATAAAATCGAACAATTTCAACCAAAATATCACCTGCTACCACCAACTAGGTAATTGAAACCAAAAGTTATTTTTTTATAAAAGGCATGTGTGTGTGTGCCGGGGGGAGGGGGTGGGAGGGAAGTGGGGCACTCACAGGACTTCAAAGGCAAAGCAAATATGTAGATTCCAACACAAAAGATGTGGCTGAGGGTGTCTGTATGCAATCTAGTAGCTGATCTATCCCAACGAAAACGCTGAACCAAGCACACCGCAGCTGTCTCCTGGCCTTCATAGAAATGACCAGCAACCCGCTGCGGGGGGGACCACCATGGCCCGAGGTCATCCCCAGCCGGGATCAGTGGCTCCCATTTTGTATTTATTTAGCAAGCGAGATTCGCTGTCTCCCATTGGGCACCCACCCCTCACCCATGACTCCACAGCAGCTTCTCA